GCCCGGCGCCGCGGCCGCGGACGGCGGCGGCGGCGGCGCCGCGCCTGCGCCCGCCGCGCACACCCCTGCCACAGAGCCCCGCGCGCGGGGCGGCGGCAAGGGCGGGAAGCATGCGGCTGGCAGCTCCACCGAGCTGTTTGCTCACCTGCAGCAATACCGGCGCGTGACAGTCGAAGGCGCCCTGTCGGCCGCCAAGGGCGACGCGGCGGCGGGGCAGCACCCGGCGGTGGTGGCGCTGGCGCTGCAGTACGCGGACGGCAGCGTCAGCGGCGGCACGGCGCGCTGCGTGGCGATGGTGCACGCGCTCGCGCAGGTGCGACCCTGCAACTTTGCACGACCATATGCACACAAAAACACACGCGAGTGCGGGGCCGGGCGGGCCTCTAGCAACCCTTGGCCGGTTTTGACCGCCTCTCTTCCGCACACGTCGGTCAGCTGTCCTGCGCTTTCCCACCAAACGGGCATGCCGCTCATCCGGATGCAATGTGATGGGACGGCCTTGTTCAATCCATGGTGAAACCTATCCCCTTGCAACCATCACAACTGCCACAACCACCGCAACCGCCGCAACCGCCGCCAGCTCATCGCGGACTACCGCACGCCGCCGGGCAAGTCGCTGCCGCGCGACCTGCTGGGGTCCGTCAACGCGGCGGTTGACTTCCTGGTGCGCTGCCGGCCGCTGGGGGTGTCGATGGGCAACGCGATCAAGTTCATCAAGCTGTGCATATCCAAGACCGATCCAAACGGTGCGCATGGGTCCACAAGTTGCATGAGCGCACATGCTGCTGGTTGTTTTTTTTATGGGGGGGGGGTGCAGCACTGGCGCGCGCAGGCCCTGCGGACGGGCGCACGGCTGCGGCTTGATGGTTGGTGGGTAATGGCGGGCAGGTGCCTGAGCGCGCTGCCGGCCTCCTGCGGGACCCGCACGAGCGCTGTCCACACGAGCCCTCCAGCGGCGGCCGCCCTCTGAACCAACCCCGACCTGCGCCGCGCTGCCGCCTCATGCGGCAGCGCGCCCCCGTCCTCGTCACTGCCCGTTTCTGTATCATCCGGCCCCTCCCTTTCTCCCGACCTTGCCCCTCGCTGTGCCCCGCCTTCACCCGCCCCAGCCCCCGAGGCCGCTGCCAAGGGTGACCTGCTCAAGCAGCTGGGGGACTTTGTGCAGGAGAAGGTGGTGCTGGCAGACCAGGTGGGGCCCGGCTGGCCACATACACCATGTTTCTCAGGCCGGGTCAGAGGAGGGCTAGTTGTTGGGCCCGCACGGCTGCACACTGGGTGGGGTGCGGGCCGTCCGGCCGCTTCCCCGTAGGGGCAAGCACACGCACTGGGGGAGAACACGCTCCGGCGGAGGGTGGGGAGAGCGGGGCCGCCACGTCGACTTTCCTTGGGCTCCGCCTGAATGGAGCGAGGGCAATGCCGCCCAGGAAGAGTCGACGTGGCAACGGAAAAAACGCGTCGTGTTGGGGCCCCGAGCCCGCAAGGGACCTCCCCCTCCTGCACCCGGCTCAGCGCCGCGCGACGGCCCCGCGCGGCAGCGCCGCTCTCTGCGGCTGGAAAGTGTTGCGCACGCCACCTTGTTTGCTCGGCCCTCGCGCATCGATCGCCTCCCGCTCAACCTTTGACCAAGTCAAACAAGGGGCCGACCGCGTGCTGACGCCCTCGTGCACACCCCACCCCCAGGTCCTGGTGACCACCGCGGTGTCCAAGATCTACGATGGTGACGTAGTCATGGTCTACGCCTTCTCCCAGGTGTGGCCCCACCAGGACTGCCCCCCACGCGCCCCCAGCCGAAACTGTTGACGGCGCCCTCACTCACCCGCGGCCCGCTCGAGCGGCGGCGCGTCTAATGCGCACTGCCGAACGCTTCCACCCGGGCCTTGATCGTCCGCTCCGGCTGGGCTCCTTTTAAGAGAGAGACCACGCACTTAAGTCTACCTCTCAATCCAATGCAAAACGCGCCTCCATCGATGGCACCAGGTGGTGCTGGACGTGCTGCTGCAGGCGCACGAGGCCGGCCGCCGCTTCCGGGTGGTGGTGGTCGACAGCCGCCCCGAGTGCGAGGGGCGGCGGCTGCTGCGGCGGCTGCTGGACGCAAACATGGCCTGCACCTACACGCTGCTCAGCGGGCTGTCGTACGCGGTCAAGGAGGTGGGCTCGCATGCATGATGTGCGTGCTGTGCATGCTGCGTGCGCTGCCGAGGGCCGGGGCCGGTGCATGCGGCTGCGTGCGAGCGCGCGGCTGGGATACATGTGTGCATGCGCAAGCCAGCCCAGTTGGAGGGCGCATGGTGTCCATCCAGGGGCGGCATGAGAGGGGCTGGGTGGTTGGTGAGGCGTTGGGGCGGCGCTGAGCACGCAGCGGGCGTTGAGGACACTGCAGGTGTTTCGGCCCATGCCCCGTGCCGCCATCCTGGACAGATTCGTGCGCGTCTTGCGCAATGTGTGCGTTGCAAGCGCCGCTTTCCGACGCGCCCCCCCCCCCCGATGGGTTTGCCTCTGCCCCACGCAGGTCACCAAGGTCGTGCTCGGGGCGGCGGCGGTGCTGTCCAACGGGACGGTCATGGCGCGCGCCGGCAGCGCCCTTGTCGCGACTATGGCGTCTGCTGCGGGCAAGCCGGTGCTGGTGTGCTGCGAGACGCTCAAGTTCCACGAGAGGGTGCAGGTGGGTGGCGCGCACGTATACGCGCGCACTCGTGAGTGCACGCATCGTGCAGGGGGCATCCTCATGCGTTCGTCCTTGCTTGGTGCGGGGGCGCTCTCATGCGTGAGTGCATTTACCATCAGTATCAGGTAGTGTGGCCAGTCACAGAATGTAACCCTCTTTCTCCGCCACAACACCCCCAGCTGGACAGCATCACCCACAACGAGCTGGGGGACCCGGGGGTGCTGGCCAGGCTGCCGGCCGGCGTCAAGATCGCCGGCGACGACCAGGGGCCGGCAGGTGGGGGCTTGGCGATTTTTGGGTACCGATGCATCGGAGGTCTGATATTTTTGAGCGTCACGAGCTGTGGTTGTGTGATGGCGGCTGTGAAGCTCGAAGGAAGCTGCTGCAGCCAGCCGAGGCGCCCTGTCGCAGCACTAAATCACTTCCCCGCTCTCCGCCCCACCAAACGCGTGCAGATGGCTCCGGCACTGTGGTTTCGCCGCCGCTGGCCGGGTGGGAGGCGGTGCCGCGGCTGGGGCTCCTGAACCTGAAGTATGACGCGATGCCGGCGGACTGCGTCACCATGGTGGTGTGCGAGTTTGGGATGATCCCCTGCAGCAGCGTGCCTGTGATCCTGCGGGAGTGGGGCGCGAAGATGGAGGAGGGGCAGTGAGCGGTGCGGCGAGGGAGCGTGGGGTGCAGGCGGGGCAGGCTGAGGCGGCCCGGCTCGCGCGCACGGCAGGCGTCCTTGCGGCGAAGATGCGAATGGATTGTGTTAGCATGAATAGCTTCTGCGCTGTAAGATGCGCCCAGAGCTTGCGTGTGCTGGGAGGGAGAGTCAGGGCGCAGTACAGCAGTGGGCGGCAAAGCACGCACAGCGCAGCAGGGGTGAGAAGCAGCAGTGACCCCTGTGAGAAGGAGCTCTTAAGTCGTCCACAAAGCTCCGTATTCGCCGGCATTCTATCAACGAGGTGCATCACACTGCGTTGCTTTCGAGCTTTTAGACTCCTGGACACACTGGAGATCAGCTGATCGTCAGCAAGGGTCTCGGAGAGGGATCTGTGCCACTCTGGATCTGAGATGGAGGAGGACGATGAGCTGTGAGCCATACCTGACGTTGTGGGGAGCTGATCTGCTGCCCGCCAGTCTCACTACGCCATTTGCTTCGCAGGGCGCATCTATTCAAGGTTATGATAAGCACAGACAACCACTTGGTGAGCAATTCACGCTGTGCTGCCGGACCATATGACAAAGCGACCGCTAGTGAAGCTGAGAAAAGGCGGCGCAGCGCAGCGTGCGCAAGTCAGCGGCCGGCCTTGATGCAGCCGTATGTACGACGGCGGATCTTGCAACCCAAGCAGCAGCTAATTAGATCGACGCACTGTTTATGCGCGTCCGCAGTACCGGCACCCTGCCATGCTGGGCACGCTTCCACGGGCACGCCAAATCGGAATGCCTTTCCCCTGGCCCCCACCGCTGCCATTGCCGCGGGCCCGCCCCGCGCCGCAGGGTGTGTGGGAGAAGGACGAGATTCGCAAGGACGACTCTTTCGCGGCCTTCGAGGAGGTCCTGCAGCTGGCGAAGCAGCACCAGGTGGCGGGGCCCTGCGGGCGCCAGCAGCTGCGTGGCCGAACTTTGCGGCGGCTTGAGCAGCTGGGTGGGCGCACGGCTTATCAACACACCACTCTGCATGCAGTTTGAACGCTGCGCACACACACACACACACACACACACACACACACGCGCGCGCATGCACACACACACACACACACACACACACACACACGCATGCACACAAATTTGTCAACACATGCCCATGCAAAAAGACAACCCATGCGCACACACCACACGCTCAATGCGCTCGCACCCGATCCCCTCACTTCCAGACCACCCCCGCACCGCACACTGCACCACAGCTTCGCTCTAACCACCCCCCCCCCTGCCGCCGCCCCCAGGTCGACCTGCTGCTGCTGGGCGGCGACCTGTTCCACGACAACAAGCCCTCGCGGCCCACGGTGGTCAAGACGGTGCAGCTGCTCACCAAGTACTGCCTGGGGGACGACCCAATACGCTTCCGCATACTCAGCGACGCGGCGGCAAACTTCGTGGGGGGGTGAGGGGGGCAG